TTGGTCCTGATATGGGCATGATGGAAAGTATTGACAGTGTATCTCTCTTTCCAGCAACAGTTAAATCCCGTGGTACCAAGCCTCTGCTTTCTCAACCTATTCTTTTGCTGTTGATTCAAGGCTATAATTAGATGAGCAGGTAGGCAATTGTTTGGTGAATTTTTAAGATCCATCTAGAAAGCACTTGTTTAAACTGGTACTGGGGAGAATACAATAATTATTGTATTGAATGTATAGCTTAACCAGTTAAACTACGTAGAGTCATCATAGATTTATACGATATGGAAAAAGGCCCTTTGGTACAACTCATCCATGTCGACCAGATATCCTAAATTAATCTTGCCCTGTATGCCAACATTTGGCTCATATTGCTCTAAACCCTTCCTATTCATGTACCCATCCAGATGCCTTTTAAATGTTGTAATTGTACCAGCCTCCACCACTTCCTCTTGCAGCTTGTTACATACACACACCACCCTCTGCGTGAAAAAGTTGCCCCTCAGGTCCCTTTTAAATCTTTCCCCGCGCCCACCTTGAACCTATGCCCTCTAGTTTTGGACTCCCCAACCCTGGAGAAAAGACCATGTCTATACACCCCATCTACGCCCTTCATGATTTTATAAACCTCTATAAGATCATCCCTCAGCCTGCGACCCTCCAGGGAAAATAGCCCCAGACTATTCAGCCTCTCCCTATGGCATTAACCCTTCAAACCTGGTAACATCCTTGCAAAACCTGTCTGAACCCTTTCTAATTTCACAACATCTCTCGTATAGCAGGCAGTCCAATTTTCTGAAGAAGGGTCTAGGCCCAAAACATCAGCTTTCCTGCTCCTCTGATGCTGCTTGGCCTGTTGTGTTCATCCAGCTCTACACCTTGATATCTTAGTCCACAATTGGACACAGTATTATGTAAGTGGCCTCACCAATGTCCTGTACAGCCCCAACATGACATCCCAATTCCTATTATATAACCACAGGCAACAGATCTTTCTAGATCTGAAATTTAATTGAGCAGGATTGAGGGGGCCTGGGTGATGTGCTTCATCTGCAACATGTAGGGATTTATCTTTAGGTGAGGAAGCCTGGGTTTGTAAGAGAGTCAAGGGATTGATCGTTTAATGGAAGGATCAATAGCCACTTTTACTTAACCAATAACAAGCAAGGCATCGAAAGCAACACAGGAGCTGCATCTAATCTTCCCACAAGTGAGCAGGATCTGAAAGGTTAAAGACAACGTGGGTAAAAACCAGGGGCAGAGTTTACGAAGCAGTGTTTATTCACACATCCGAGTACCGAAAAAAATGAGAAACCTAGGAAGCGGAAGGAGCTGACAGTAGGTTTGTCGACACGAATGGTGGGAGTGACCAAGAAGTATCGAATTAAGCTTGACTCAACAGGAATGTGACTTACGCAGGAAACAAAGTACATGCAAACAATGAAAGAAAGCTGACTGGCACTTGCTTTGGGTCATGTTTTAAGAATAAAAATAACTGAAGTACCTGTCATGGCTCTATGCGCTGAAGTAGGACAGAACGGAAAGGGTGACAATGACCCAAAAACGTTTGAGAAGGTGGAGAGTGATTGGTCATCGAGAGACTTACTGGGGACTGAAGTAGACAGAATGTAAAGGATTAGCCTCGATGTGAAATACCCACCGACCTGGAGCTGTTCCACCAATCAATACCACCAGGACAGCACTTGGGCCTCACTCTACATCCTGTCCATTCCCCATATCCCCTGCATAACCCACAGAGATAAAAACTCAATCTAATCCAGCCTTAAATACACTGAACTATGGCACATCCACAGCTCGCTCAAAGCAGAGAATTATTCCGCATCTAACCCCGTGTTGTCCCTGTCCTGAGAGTGTTTGATCAGGGACAGTGTAGAGGGAGCTTTACTCTATATCTAACCTCGTACTATCCCTGTCCTGGGAGTGTTTGATCGGGGACAGTGTAGAGGGAGCTTTACTCTATATCTAACCCTGCACTGTCCCTGTCCTGGGAGTGTTTGATGGGGACAGTGTAGAGGGAGCTTTACTCTGTATCTAACCCTGTGCTGTCCTTGTCCTGGGAGTGTCTATTGGGAACCTGGTAGAGAAAGTTTTACTTTCAGTTTAAAAGCATAGAGAATTCCAAAGACTCTCAGCTCCTCAAGCAGAGAAATGTCTCATCACCTCAGTCCCAAATGATGAGCCCCTTATCCTGAGACTCCAATCAACCAGGCGAAACCATCTCTCAGTGTCAAGCCCCTGTTGAATTGTGTGTTTATCCAGGAGCTGAGCCCTGATCCTTGTAAACTCAGAGGCTGACGCTCTATTCCATTCAGCCTTTTCTCGGAGGGAAACCTGCCCAGGTTAGGGACTGTTCTAGTGAACCTTCACTATGCTCCTCCAAGGCAAGTCCTTTACACTAAAACTACACCTAAGCTGTATCCCGACCTGTGCCATTGTAGTGAGGGAGGGATGGTTTGTTGCAGGATGAATGACGGTGAATTCCTTCAGCCAATTTGAACTAAAAGACAGGAAATTAACAACGGTAATATCTTTTCTTTAACAAAAAGGTCTATGAAGCGGAGGGGAGGGTTATTTTGAGAAACTGTCCAACTTTCAAAAGTTTTTAGAAAAGGTCAGATTTGTCTCACAGAGGTTACACAAAACATCCCCCGATGATTTGACTTACAAATCGGATTGCTTTTTGAGATATGTGGGCGATAACAGGAAAAATGAACTCTGTGAACCAGTCCCATAGTCAGGCCTCTGGTCACCATGATAACATGCAGGGAACAGCACTCCCCTTTATCACACAATCTCAGGAGTGCTTGCTATGTTAAACATTTCCATTAAATTAACACACCTATTTTTGCTTCTATTCCAAAGGCTAGTATTGCTCAATAGAACGTGTGCTGTAACAGAGAAATTTACCGTGCCATAGCTCACTTCAACTGCTGCGTTATTATTTGGAGTTTGTGTTCACCTTTGTCTTTTGGCTAACATCTTTCGCTGGCTGCCAATACATTTCTCTCAGGCTCTCTGACCCAGTTGAGTGACCTGGTTTTCAGGAAAATTTAACTGAGCAGCCTAATTCAGTCAGTTGCTCTGGCTGCCTTTTAAATCATTATACGACACAGTCTGACTGTCTGGCTCAGTTAGCATCACCCAGGCCAGCAAACACAACACAGGCTGAGGGTGTGGGGGAAGGATGTGCGCTCTAGAGAAAGATCTCGCATTTTACACAGTGTCTTTCACAAGCCCGGCCCATCCCAAAGAGGTTTCACACTCAATGAAGTCTAGTGACTGTTGACACACAGGAAATGAGGCAGCCAATTTATACACAGCAAGCTCCCACAGCGATGATGAGTGACTATCCAGCCTGTTTGTGATATTGATTGGTTCAAGGCAAGAGTTGTAGTGTTGAAAGTTCTACGTCACCCGAGAGAACAGACAGGGCCACTGCTTAATGTTCTGTTTGAGAGATGGGACCTCAGCTAATGCGGCACAGGCAGTTTTTTTTCTCCGTAACGTCAAATCCCTAGAATATGTTCCCTGCAGTACAGAAAGAGGCCATTCAACACATTGAGTCTCTCACTGACCCTCTGAAGAGCATCCAACCCAAACCCAGTTCCCTACCTTATCCCTGGAACCCTGCATTTCCCACAGCCAATCCACCTAAACTGCACATCCCTGGACACCACCTGGACAAATGTAAGGTGATGCATTTTGGAAAATCAAGTACAGGTGGAAATTATACAGTGAATGGCAGAGCCCTTAGGAGTATTGACATGCAGAGGGATCTGAGTGTGCAGGTCCACAGATCACTGAAGGTGGCAGCGCAGGTAGGTAAGGTAGTAAAAAAGGCTTATGGCATGCTTGCCTTCATTGGAAGTTGGCATTGAGTATAAGGATAGAGAAGTTATGCTGCAGCTTTATAGAACTTTAGTTAGGCCACATTTGGAATATTGTAGACAGTTCTGGTCACCGCACTACCAGAAGGATGTGGATGTTTCGGAGAGGATACAGAAAATGTTTACCAGGATGTGTGGGGGATTTTAGCTACGAAGAAAGATTGGATAGATTGGGTTTGTTTTCACTAAACACAGGAGATTGAGAGGCGACCTGATAGAAATTTATAATGTTGTGAATGGCATGGATAGAGTGGAAATTATGTGGAAGGGTGGAGGAGTCATTACTAGGGGACACAGGTTCAAGGTGAGAGGGGGTAAGTTTAAAAGAGATGTGCGAGGCAGGTTTTTCACACAAAGGGTGGTGAGTGCCTGGAACACGCTGCCAGAGGAGGTGGTGGAAGCAGACACAATAGCAGCAGTTGAGAAACACCTGGACGAATACATGAATAGTAGGGGAACAGAGGGATACAGATCCTGTAAGTGAAGACAGTTTTAGTATGGAAGGGCAAAATGAGTCGGCGCAGGCTTGGAAGGCCGAAGGGCCTGTTCCTGTGTTGTTATTTGTACTATGGGCAATTTAGCATGGCTAATCCACCTAGCCCACACATCTTTGGATTATGGGAGGAAACCGGGGCAAACCCACGCAGACACGGGGAGAACATGCACGTTCCTCACAGAGGGTCACCCTAGGCTGGAATCAAATCCAGGTTCCTGGTACTGTGAGGAAACAGTGTTAACCACTGAGCCACTGTGCCCACGCTCACCTATCTCTGAAGGCAGTTTTGAAGAATAAAAGTCATATTGGACCCGAAATGTTTAACTCTGTTTCTCTCTCCACAGACCTGCTGAGTTTCTCCAGCCTGCTCTGTTCTGTTGGTCAGTAGAGAGGAATAATGAAAGGACGCCAGGGAAATGCGCTGTCCTCATTGGGGAAAATGCCGCAAAATCTTTGGATTGGCCATAATTGTGGCACATCAGAGGCACAGCGACCTCTGACATGAAGCTTTCTCTCAGTATCACACTGTGGGATTGGCCGATATCCCAAGTTACTATTTCATCCTCGCTCTGTTTGTTTTCATAAACACCCAGGCAGCATTGCTTCTTTCCTTTGTTATACAGTGTTATTTCAGAACAAAGTGAAAGTACAAAGCTATACAACAGGCACATGACAGCTCTTTACATAATATACAACTGACAGTATAAAAAGAACATTCATAGTCAAATTTCTGAGAGAAAGAAACAGCTTTACAATTAACACAAAACATGAAATATCAGGACATTTCTCTCGCTTATAAATACATAACAGTGTCAATATTTACAACACAACATATAGACAATTCATACAAAGTGCACGCTTACTCAAAGAGGCACTACCCCCTCAATATGACCAGGGTCTAACCTCTTCCAGGATTTCCCTACCACCTAGCGCTGGTTGGGTGTGAACTTCGCTGAGGTGCTCGCATTTGAGATTGTCTTACAGAGAAAAAAAAGAAATATTGAGGCAGGGACGGTGGGATCTACCCTCAATGACGTGTCAACAAAGCAATGGCGCGGAGACTGGGTTAGAGAGACCGCCACTCCTGATGGTATCTGTTTGAATGGGATGAGTGCTTCTTTGATGTGGCTCCTTGTAATAAGTGCATTGCATTGCCAACACCCATCATCTGGTCTGGCACAGAGCAGGAGAACAACAATGCAGGGACCAGGCATGCACCAAGTTCTATGGAAGTGGCAAGAGCTAGGCATACCAGCAACGGCGAATTCACAACAGCATCAATGCTCCTCACATTCAAAGAATGAGAGATGATCTCATTGAAACGTGTCGGATTCTGAAAGGGCTTGGACAGGGTAAATGCTGGGAGGATGCTCCCCCCTTATGAGTGAGTCTACAAACAGACAGCATAGTCTCAGAATAAAGGGGCACCAATTTAAGACTGACATGAGGAAGAATTTCTTCTCTCAGAGGGTTGTGAGTCTTTGGAACTCCTTGCCACAGAGAACTTGTGTATATTTAAGGCTGAGATAGATTCTTGATCGGCCGGGGAGTCAAGGGTTATGGGGAAAGGGCAGGAGAGTGCATGTGAGGAGTGTCAGATCAACTATGCTTCTACAGAATGGTGGAACAGGCCCAAGGGGCTGAATGGCCTACTCCTGTTCCTGACTCTTATGGGCTTAAACAGCATTACATTTGAGCCTCTTAGTTGGGGCCTGAAACCTTTACATCATTTCTAAATTAACTGATAACTAATTCCTTTGAGCTATCTCCCTGGACAATCTAAATTTCCCGTAAGAAACTCAGGTCCCAAATTTTAAAAAAAAGGTTTGTCCCATTGTTTAGCAGACAATGGGTCTGAAATGATCAAACTTTCTCCCGCTTTGTTAATTTCCCCACAAACTATAAAAGGGGAGATGTCTTCTTTAGTACAAATTTAGGTCACTGCAAATACACACTATTTGGAACTCAATCTCTGGTATTGTCACCTCATAGAGTGATAGAGCTGTACAGCATGGAAACAGACCCTTCAATCCAACTCGTCTATGCCGACCAGATATCCTGAATTAATCTCGTCCCATTTGCCAGCATTTGGCCCATATCCCTCTAAACCCTTCCTATTTATATACCCTGAAATGTCAACTTTCCTGCTCCTCTGATGCTGCCTGACTTGCTGTGTTCCTCCAGCTCCGCACTGTGTTATTTCTAACTCCAGCATCTGCAGTTCTCACTATCTCCATGTACCCATCCAGATGCCTTTTAAATGTTGTAATTGTACCAGCCTCCACCACTTCCTCTGGCAGCTCATTCCATACACACACCGCCCTCTGCGTGAAAAAGTTTGCCCCTTAGGTCCCTTCTAAACTTTTCCCCTCACACCTTAAATCTGTGCCCTCTAGTTTTGGACTCCCTTCCCTTGGGAAAAAAGACCTTGGCTGTTGCAATTGGAAAACAATTGTTAGGGAGACGTGGATATTGGGACAGGAGGTCAGTGTTGCTTTTTGTTTAAGTTGAAAAGGGATGATTGATAGCTGGCAATCAAAGTGCTGCTTTTTCTGAGAGAGGCACACATAACCTGTCACAAGGTCACAGTCACCTCTCAATATAGATTGAACGCAGACAAAGGCTGGATGTTCTCAGCTTCCCCTACAAACGTTTCAATTTGTGATATTTCTAGTGATAACTGACGTAGATGCCTGGAATCAAACTCATTGTACCAGGTTGGAAGACAGCATCTGTCTCGTGAATGAGCTGATAGAAAACATGACGCGAGCAGCTAGAATTCCAATACAGATGATACAAACAGGGAGCAGGAGTTTCCAACCGGATTCCCACACAATCAGCCCAAAAGTGGCCAAACTAATGCAAAACAAAAACGACCGAGGAATTTCAAGTACAAACGACCTCCAGCCTCTACGATGTTTTATTTATCGGTTTTTAAACAAAGAGCTCAAAGCCATACACCCCATCCCCAACAGATTACCTTTCTGATAGGTGCTTTTGTAGTTCTTCAAGGAGGTTTTTAGAGTTAGCTGCTTCTTTTGTTAAAAAGGTGGAAGGACACTAACAGGCGCCTTTCAAAAGATTTTAATTTTTAAAAAAACACAATTCCGAAAGAACTGCCTGCTCCACATCAATGAAACCAGTAAGTGGCTCCGTGCAAACATTTTTAAGAGTTATTTAGAACTGGGGCACTCGTGTTGTAGACACCTCATGAAGTAAAAGTGCTCACTTTTTGTGATAGACCCACATTCTGCTCATCAAACTGCACCGAGTTATCCCTCTTCAATATACAGTCTGCGTTGGAGATGGGTGACATTCTAAAACTGTTCCTGATTGCACTGGTTCATGGGCCAATTTGACGTGCAAATGCATTGAAGTGAAGACCCGATCAAATCCTGAAGACTTGTGCAATTTGACCCCAAACTGGAAACTCTTAGCCAATGATCTCTGTCCTTTTGGCCCCGTGACACTCATATATGAGGCGACTTTTCTTAATGTGTTCATGAGATGTGAGGTGTTGACAATTATTGCCCATCCCTGATTGCCCAGTGGGTAAGAGTCAACTGCATTGCTGTGTGTCTGGAGTCACATGTAAACCATTGCCTCCAGCAAGTCTAATGAACCAGATGAGTTTTTAAACATTTCTAGGCTGACTCTACTTGAATTCAAATTCCAGCATCTGCTGTGATAGGATTTGAACCCGTATTCCCAGCGAATTACCTGAGTCTCTAGCTTACTAGGCCATCATTTCACGATTGTGCAGCATTGGCGAAAATAGAAGAATCTTCCCACCTTTCGGGGTCTGTACGTCAAAACTATTGGAGGTTTTGTTGCTACAGGAAAGATGAACCAATGTTTTATTTCGTGATGAGATTGGATTCAGATGGAGCGTTGGGACCAAATTCTATTGTTTCTCCTCTGGGAGCTGGGAAGACAGGAGTATCCCAGGTGTACCAGGTTTAGGCGCTGGGAACCATAATTCCTCAAGACATGACAGAGAACTAAAAGCATGGGAGTGATTAAATCCCTGTTTAAAACATCAGCTGGAGTATTCTGGCCAGCTTCGGACACCATGGTAGGAAGGGTTTAAAGTGGATGTCGAGACGTGTGAGGGTGAGTCTGGGGGATGAGGGACCAGTCCTGAAGATGGTTTGGAAAAGCTGGGACTGCTCTCCCTGGAAAATGGGAGGAAATCCGATAGCATGGTGTTCAAAATCGTGAGGGCTTCAGGACAGTGTAGACAGGGAGAGAGTGAGCAACCAATTGGTGAAAGGATGGAGAAGCAGAGGAGAACAATTTAAAATGGCTGGCGATATGAGCAACGGCGACCTGAGGAAAAACGTTTTTATCACAAAACTGGGATTCAGAACACGTTGTGTGTCGAGTGCGGTAGAGGTAGTCTCGATTTGTGGCTTTTGAGAAAGAATTGGAGAGAAAATATAGTCGGTGGACAGTTGAGGAGTGGGACCAGGTGAGTTATTTCTACGGAGACCCACTACAGATGGTCTGAATGGACTCCTGGTGCACTGTCACAGTTCTACGAACTGGGACTATTTGGGAAACACTGCACTTAGCGGTCAGAATGCAAGCGCAGCTTCCAACCTGTGTTTGTGCTTCTGGGGAAATGGAAAATTACTCAAAAGCCATGATGTGAAATACAAGGTGAAGATGCCGGTGTTGGACTGGGGTGGACAAAGTCAGAAATCACGCAACACCAGGTTATAGTCCAAGTGACTTCACCTGACGAAGGGGCAGCGCTCCGAAAGCCAGTGATTTCAAATAAACCTGTTGGACTATAACCTGGGTGTCGTGTGACCTCTGACCTTGTCTGAAATGTGAACACATCTCTCTCACTACCACACAGCGCCAGGCCTGCTCAGTGTGCCGTGCCACCTCAATCTCACCCCGAGTTCAGTATCGAGTGGGCTTCAGACGCTGGGAGACAAGTTGGAATCAATGCAAGTGCACCTTTTGAGGGGACTCCTGGAGGCAAAGTAATGACAGAGATTGGAAAGCAATTGTGGCTTCAAGAGGGGACTTATTTCGCTAATTATTTCCGCTCCAATGAAATTACAAGGAACAAATCTCTTCCAATCCATTGATGGATGCCACCAACTGAGCCACACCGTAGTGAGATGGACAAACAGCATGGCACAGTTGGTTGTAAGAACAGCAAGCCTTAGGCCTGAAGTCACGTCACGCAGAGAACTGGATTTCTTTCGGTTCTAGATCTTTACAGATCACCTGCTGAGCAGGACCTGGTGAGGAGATTTGCTACCTTAAATCTCAGGACATCCTCAGCATCTGCACAATCCGGTCAACATTGACCAAATCCCTGACGTACCGAAGGAACAGGAGACAACCCGATGACTCCAACGAGGAGCTCCGGCTGCTGAAAACCTCTCAGTGAGGGGGCAGGAGAATACCCTTGCACAGTTTGAGACCATTCGGGGTAACTATAGTCCGCATTCGGCGTGTGTCCAGCTGCCGGTTCCCCCTCACCCCTCGGCGGGGCTGACTAAATTGTTCCTCTCGTGCAACGAGAGCTTGTCAGCAGATTGCACAGTGCTCCGTTCGAGAGCCTGGAAGTAGGCTGCATTCACGGCCTGAAGGCTAAGGCTGGCCGGCGTGCTTTGATACTTGTGATTCCCATTGGGAATAACGTACTGCTCCGAGTCATCCAGATGTCCAGCCCGCTGGTGCTGCAACGCTTTCATGTCCAGGATCCCGGATCCATTCCAGAGCTCACCTTCGCCACTCCCTGTGACGTATCCCCCAAGGGGAGGGTCCTGATGAGGCGGGAGGCCCTGGATGCTCAGTTGCTGTGGACGGCCGTACTGCTCGCTGGCGGGGGTCGCACGGATTTTGAGGCGCAGCTTGTGGGGGAGGGCCATGCCCCTGAGCTCCTGCTGGTGGGTGCCGCACAGCAGCACCGCATCACATACCAGGCCGCGGCTGTCACCTTCGTAGGCCCCGCACCCGGCCGCCGTTGCCGTGGCGACACCGGAGTGCCCCGCCGCCCCTCGCCGCGAGCCCCGCGGGGGCTCGATAACCGAGCACGGGGCGAAGGGGCTGCCCTCCCGCCTCTTGGTCGGGAAACCTCGCGGGACGCGGCATGGAGCAGGCTCGCCCTCAGGACCGCGGGCGCTGGCCTCTTTGAGGTCTTCACCCTCGCCAGGGGGGCGCTGCGATGGTGGCACCTGCTCCTGCCCTCCGATGACTGGGTGCCCTGAAGTGGTCTCCACATCCGTGTTGACAGCAGGCGGCTTGGGGAAAGGGTGACCTTTGACCCTGTGGGCCCCGGGGCCCGAAAGGTCGGGAGCATGCAGCTGAGCGAGAGCGCTCGGAGAAAGCGCTTCACTGAGCCCACCGATGGTGAGTGCCTTCGCTGAGACGCCCCGTATGGCCAGCTGTGTGTAACCCGCCCTGGGGCCTACTTGGTTAGGCTGAGGCTTGGTGGGAGAAGGAGACAGGTCCTCCACTCGGGAGGTGTGAATCTGAGGGTGCTGTGTGCCACCGGGGGGCCCTTGTTGAGCGACGTCCCTGGGCCCCGGGTTACACTTCGCTGGGTCTTTGTAACCGATAAACTCAATGTCATCGCAGCCTCCTCTGTAGCTGGCCCTCACCTTCTCGGCCTCCTTCAGCAGGTCCTGGAACTCGTCCTGCTTGACGTCCCGATGCATCGCCAGCTCTGGGCTGTCCCTGGCGCTCGATGACACGTCGGAAATGTCCGAGAGGGAGCCCCGGGGTGAATACTTGCTCCCAGCTGCGGACCCACTCCCTCGGCTTGAGTGCTCAGCCTCTGAGGAGTCAGAGTTGAGGAGGGAGCTGGGGCCGTTGGAGTATGCACTGTAATAAGAGCTCATCGATGCTCCAGCCAGCTGTTGGCTCTTCACTGCGTAACCTGCGGTGGTGATGAGACCAAACCTCAGCTTCAGGGCCAACAGCTCTGATTTGAGCCTGACATTCTCTTCGTTGAGTGCCAGCACTTGATTCTCCAAGACCAGATCGCTGATCCTCCTCTTTTCCCGCGATCGCTTGGCAGCTTCGTTGTTCTTGCGCCTTTTCTCCCAGTAGGTGGCATCTTTCTTCTCGTCGGAGATGAACTCCCGCTTCCTGCGTCCCGAGCTGTTGTTTCTGCCTTTCCCTACCCTGTTTCTCTGGGCTAACCCTTCACTGTAAGGCCCAAGAGTCTCTGAGAGGCACAGAGGAGCTGAAGCCAGGGTCTCCAGCTCAGAGTAGTAACCAGATTCCATCCCCGGGCTTCCTGGGCAACAACTCAGAGGCTTCCTCGTGCTGCTTCTACAACTCAGCTTGGGAGAGCAACGTTTCTATCCATTTTGAAGTGACGGCACATTCCTCCCATTGGGCCTGAGGGGACATAAAACATATTGGCTTTAATATTTATTCAACAATTTCATGTCCAACCACCAACAGAAAACAAAAACTAAGAGAACATAAGAGGGGGCAACTAAGTGAAGATCCTTTTCAGAGGATTCCAGGCCAGGGTACAAAATGCTACATAAAAACCGAAAGAACTGCAGATGCTGTAAATCAGGAACAAAAACAGAAGTTGCTGGAAAAGCTCAGCAGGTCTGGCAGCATCTGTGAAGAAATAAAGCATCAGAGTTAATGTTTCAGGTCCCGTGACCCTCCCTCAGGACGTTCTGAGGAACCGGATTCGAGACGTTAACTCTGTTTTTTCCTCCACAGATGCTGCCAGACCTGCTGAGCTTTTCCAGCAACTTCTGTTTTTGTTACAGAATGCTAGAATTTGAACAAAAAGCAATTCAGTAAGTGGCCCAAGTCCCAATTGTTTTCTAAACTTTTCACTGGAATCAGAATGGGAATTCTATTGATCTCTTCATGGGATGTTGGGTGTCACTGATCAGGTCAGTATTTATTGCCTGTCCCTATCTATCCTTGAGATGGTGGCCCCCTTGAGCTGCTGCAGTTAGGGAGGGAGTTCTGGGATTCTAACTCAGGAATGGCGATATCGTCCCACGTCACGTTGGTGTTGGGTGTTCCCACACATCTGCCGTTTTGCTTTAAGGAAGTCGTGTTTGGAAGGTGCTGTCAAAGGAGCCTTGGTGATTTGTGGCAGCACAACTTGTAGATGGTACACACTGTTGCTACTGAGCATTGGTGGTGAAAGGAGTGAATATGGAAGGTGGTAGATGAATTGTTTTAATTAAGTGGGCTGCTTTGTCCTGTACACTGTCAAATTTCCTGAGCGTTGTTGGGGCTGCACCCATCCAGGCAAGTGGGGAGTATTCCATCACACTCTTGCTTGTGCCTTGTAGATGGTGGGCAGGCTCTAGGGAGTCAGGAGGGGAGTTACTCTCCACAGGATTCCTAGACTCTGACCTGAACTTTACCCACAGTGTTCATATGGCTAATCCAATTCGGTTTTTGGTAAATGGTGACACCCAAGGTAGTGATATTAGGGGATTCAGTGATTGTGGTGCCATCGAGAGTCGAGGGGAGATGCTCTCCTGTTGGTCATAGCCTGGTACTTGTGTGGCACGAATGTTACTAGCCACTGGTCAGCCCAAGCCTGGATATTGTCCAGATCTTGTTGCAGTATCTGAGGAGTCGCGAATCGTGCTGAACATTGTGCAATCATCTGCGAACATCCCCACTCCTGACCTTATGATGGCGGGAAGGTCATTGATGAAGACAGTTGGGCCTTGGATACCATCCAAGGTAAAGCAGGGTTCTTAATTGGCACTACATCCAGCACCATACACCCAGACTCCTTCCACCACCAGTGCACAGTGGCAGCAGTGGGTACCACATGCCCCTTTCAGTGCAGTAACTCACTAAGGATCGTTCAACCTTCTATCATTGAAGGGCAATGAAGTCACACACAAGAGTAACCATCTGGAACAAACCAGAATGGAGTTTGTCCCTTGGGAACGGACCAGTAATAAAAGAGATGAATGTGGAGAGGAAGCCATTGGTTTTATGAAACATGTTAGGAACAGCTTGGGAACATATTTGGATCACCATGCAAAAGAGCCTGTGACAAATAGAAGACATCCCAAGAGTGATAAAGCATTGGGAGGCTCAGTGATTAGTGCTGCTGCCTCAAAGTGCCAGGGACCTGGGTTCGATCCCACCCTCGGGCGACTATCTGTGTGGAGTTTTCATGTTCTTCTCGTGTCTGCGTAGGTTTCCTCCAGGTGCTCCGGTTTCTTCCCACAGTCCAAAGATGTGCAGGCTAGGTGGATTGGCCATGCTAAATTACCCTGCAGTGGCCTGGGATGTGCAGGCTGGGCGGTTAGCCATGGGAAGTGCAGTGGTACAGGGGTAGGGTGAGATGGTCTTTGGAGGGTCAGTATGGACTTGCTTCCACATTGTAGGGATTCTATGCATTCCAGTGGGGGGGAAGAAAACCAGTTGCGATAATCTAGAAGGGAGATTGGGAGTAAAGAAAGGGAACGGGGACAATGAGATATGGGGCTAACTCTTTGCAAAGGCAAGCTGATGGATTAATCCAGGGTTAAGTCCACGGCCCTTTGACCTTGCTCCAGCCACAGGCCATGTCTAATGGATATCCCCTTCCTGCCATTATGACAGCATCAGAATGATCGAAGACAAGATTAGGCCTCAGCACAGAAGGAAGAAAAGAGATGAAGATGATAAAATGCACATCAGCAGCAAAATTAGTTAATGGCTCAGGATGGGTTAACACAATAGGTCAGGAGTCTTCAGTAGATCCAATCAGAGTCTCAGCATAATCAGTCAATAATCAGTATGCTTTGAAGATCATATGAATTTATACAAAGAAATACATTACATATAGAGCAAGATAATGGAGTGAAAGAAGTGGTACTTCATATAAAGTGTTCTAATGGTTAATTTTAATGCGCTTTAATACATTAATGTCCAAATGCATTTCTTTTCACTAAAAATAACGTACGCACTATCGTTTGCTCTTAAAAGTTACCCAATATGTCTGGTCAATGACAAAAACTACCATTCAGGAATAAAACTAAATGTTAATTCTACTCAGTCCCACTTTTGTCAGTCTCTGCACATATATAATCTCTCTCTAAAACATTTAGGGCTTTTCATGACAAATGTTGTTGTCAGTTTGTTTGGCATCTACTCCATCCTGGGCCGACGCTGATTCAGCGGGGAATGCTGTTCCCATGCTAAGGGATTGATGAGAGCCCCCTTTCTGATTCAATGTCTCTGCTGGCTCGATGACACCGAGAGCACGGCGAGCTATAGTTGCTAGCTGTTTGATTTAGGTGAAAGCAGCTGCTTTCTCCATGTCCCAACCCCACTGCACATCCTTAACAGTGAGCTCACACTGAGGTTCACACTCCAAAGACACATCAAGCAAGAGCTTTGCTCGGTAGTTCAGAAATCTGATACCTCATTACACTGTCTAATAGTCGCTACATCTCTGCTATAACTCTCACTTGTCAAAATCTAGATAAGGTCTCTCACTGTCAGTATGCAACCTATGTGTCTGACTTCAGACATCATCCATTGCATTTTTGCCTTGTTCAGTTTCAGACTCACACGGCAAACTCGTTCTAGCTATCACCCCTCGATTCTAGTCATGATCTGTGATGGCTTTTGCAATTCATTTTCCACATCTTATCTCCCCTCCATAGACTGGCACAGCTTTCTCTCTAGGAGGGTTGTTGACTATCCCGTGTTGAGCAGTGGGAATGCCAAAAATCACACACAGCTATCTGCATCTCATAAATGGTGTGAGAATTTCTTTTCTTTATTCATTCACGGGATGAGAGCGTCGCTGACCAGGCCAGCATTTATTGCCCATCCCTAATTGCCCAGAGGGCAGTTATGAGTCAACCACATTGCTGTCGGTCTGGAGTCACATGTAGGCCAGACCAGGTAAGGATGGCAGTTTCCTTCCCTAAAGGACATTAGTAAACTAGATGGGTTTTTTTTTCGATAACGGGTTCATGGTCATCATTAGATTCTTTACTCCAAATTTTTATTGAATTCAAATGCCACCATCTGCCATAGCGGGATTTGAACCCAGGTGTCCAGGACATCACCTGGGTCTCTGGATTAACTGCTCAGCTATACCACTTTACTCCATCACCTCCTACTGCTACTCCATTGTCTCCCCTGAGTTAGGAGTCTTCACTTTGAGGGTAGGAAAGATCTTCGCCTTGGCACATTGTGGCCAGATTTCTTCACTGGTTTGCATGGGGTAGTACGATTTCTTCAAAGCTCCATTGAGATCCCTTGGATCTATGCATACATACTCTCAGATTTCATAAGAACCAGGAACAGGAGTGGGCCATCTGGTCCCTTGACCCTGCTCCGCCATTCAATAAGATCATGGCTGATCTTATCATGGACTCAGCTCCACTGACCCGCCCACTCACCGTAACCCATAATTCCTTTACTGTTCAAAAATCTATCTATCTTTGACTTAAAGAACATTCAATGAGGTAGCCTCAACTGCTTCACTGGGCAGGGAATTCCACAGATTCACAACCCTTTGGGTGAAGAAGTTCCTCCTCAACTCAGTCCTAAATCTGCTCCCCCCTTATTTGAGGCTACACCCCCTCGTTCTAGTTTCACATGGTAGTGGGAACAACCTCCCTGCTTCTATCTTGTCTATTCCCTTCATAATTGTAGATGTTTCTATCAGATCCCCCCTCATTCTTCTAAATTCCAATGAGTATAGTCCCAGTCTACTCGGTCTCTCCTCATGCGCCAATCCTTCCAGGAATGTTGCCACCTGTTGCTATGTACCCTGCCAATCAAGTCTGTAGGAATCATCACTCCCTCCTTTTCTAGATCCTCTGTTGTCTCTTGAAGCTGAGCTTGAGGGGAGGTGGAAGTCTCCTTGGTGGATACTGAGTTGGTCTCACTCCCTCATCCACTGTGAGACGATGTTCACCAGGAAGGCACCTGTAAAATTGTGTTCTTTTAGGACCTATTCAGCAGCCTGCAGCTCAGTGAAACCTTGTGAGTGTCTTGTGGCCTGCAGAGGGTTAACAGTCCAAGCTTTAGATTGAGGTGAGCAGATTGGCAAAGTGGGTGCTGTCTGGAATCCCAGATCTTCATTATTCCCCATTACATTGGACTCTTGGCTTGGTTCGTCCTCTCGGGATGAGTGCCGTTCCATAATACAGCCTCAGTTTTACCTTTGAGAAAGTGACATCCAGAGCTTCACTTGTGGCTTAACATTTTGAGCCATCCTGAACAATCTGAGAAGCTAACAGTTTTTATTGGACACTTCACCTTCACTTAATACTTTCATGGGATGTGGGTGTCACTAACCAGGCCATCATTTATTACCAATCCTTAATTGCCCTTTGGGCACTTAAAAGTCAACCACATTGGTGTAGGTCAGACAGGGTAAGTATGGC